GGCCAGTTGACCTCCCTCTTGACCCAACCTCAATTTGATCTAGGTTAACTATATCTCGCTAGTTCCACAACTGAAATGTCTTCTCTGGCTTTTAAAATATTGCTGGTAGTCTTTTCTTTCTTATTCATTATTTTTATCCTTATATTAATATTTTCTTCTTTCTGTTTCATTTTTTATTGTTTCTCCTATGTTTCCCAGTTTCTGAAGCACAGAAGGAGTGGATGCATAGAGACAATAACTGATGCAATGTTTTATTAGGGATGGGGGTGGTGGTGTTGAGGGTCCAGAGAATTGGGGAGATAAAAATCACTACAAAATGAGCAATCTGTTCAATTCTCAAGCACTTTCTTTCTAAGCCACTGCAAGGTCAAGAGATACACCATAGAGTACAAATGAATGGCTGAAGTGTTCGTCAGCATTTATCACCTTCTTTAATCAATATGTTGCACTGTTGATTGAGTAGCCACTATGAGGCAAAGTATGCCTTGTTTTTATGTTGCAAAATGTTGACTGCCTTGGAAAGGGTCAATGCATGTGATAGCCTATGTGTGCCATCACTACTCGGGCCCAATAGGGAGGAAGTACATCAGAAGCAGAGCCTGACAACTTTCTCTCTATAACTGAACAGAACTTACGATGTGTGTGGTTCATCAGGAGCCCTGGCGGTGCAGTGGTTAAGTGTTCAGATGTGAAACAAAAAGCCAGTAATTCATATCTACCAACTTCTGTGCAAGAGAAAGAGACTGGCTTTCATAAAGTTCCAGAGTACCTACTCTGACTCCTGAGCTAGGATATAATAAATCAAATGAACTACACACACACACATGATTCCTGACCCCTGTTTGCTATTCCGTGTACTGCAGAGGAGTTATATATTTCTTATCATTTTATTCTCTATCCCACTGTCTTGCCTAACCAGTCACATACATTTGATCTTGAAATAGCAATGGAAAGAGGCCTCAGGAAGTAAGTGTGTAAGATGGTCACTCATCATGTTGGTCATCTTAGATTATTGAGGTAGTCTTGTGTAACTGATGTTTGTGAATCAAGAAGTCAAGAATACAGTGGAATTAGAGCATCAAGCCTGCTGAAGGGGTAGGAATAGAGGTGGAAGATGGTGAAAGATGAAATTGGGGTGCATAAAAATTAGCTGCATTCGTCATTAACAAACATTCCTTCACACCCAAATATTTATTCCACAAATACTAATTGGATCCTTACACAATGTTCAGAAATGTCAAATCTCTGAAGGCAAACTTTAGTTTTACAAGACTGATAGAAAGCATTTTTAAAGTCAGAATGAGTCAATGAGAATACATTACTCAGTCTGGGAAGCTATGGGATTTTTAAAAAAATGAAATGTTTGAGCATGACAAATGTGCGCCTCGGTGCGCCATGGAAAAGGTTAATATCACATGGCAGCATCTGACCCACTTGACGATTACTTCAAATCCCTGGGTATTGGATTGAGCCATATGAAAATTCTATTTTTCTAGATCAAAAAATGATTGAATAGCAGTATACTTACTCCTCACTTATCAACTATCTCATTATCCAATGTTGTGAATTTACAATAGTTAAACACTTCTATCTGATTATTTTGTGTATTAATGATGTATATATAACAGTAGCAAATACTGAGGTGCAAGGTGGGAATAAAGCTGCCTGTGATAGTCAAGGTTGTGTGTCAACTTGGTTATGGGTTTTAATGGCCAGGCAGTTAGGTAATCATGAAAGTTACCCATTTTGTAATGATATTATTTAGCAGTGTGTAATGTAGTAGTCATCGTTCATTTTGTGATATGATGTGGTCATTCTCTGTTTTTACATAATGCTAATTTTTACATAATAACCTTGTCTTAATAATTTCATATGGTTCCACCTGTCTTAATAATTTCATATGGTTCCTTTTTTCTGAAAAACATCCCTTGGTCATTCCCCTCCTAAATGTTTAGAATAATAGCTTCTTTCCAGGAAAAAAATCCACAGATAGATATTGGGTAATATGAGAGAGTCAGTTTCCTGAGGTCGGGTGTGAAAGGACGACACTCAAGGACACACAAAGGCCAAAGGGATGAGAGCTGTGGGCCAAAGTGAAAAGGTTAGGTGCTTGCTGTGAGGCATGAGAGCCTCTGGACAGTTTCTAGCAGTGAGTGTAATGATCCGATTTGTCTTTTAAGATGCTCACTCAAGATTTCAAGGAGAAGGGAGTGGGGTGAGCAATGCTAACGATGGAAAAATAGCAAGATCAGCTCTTCTGGTCATTTGGGGTAGAACGAACAGATCCTTGCAAAAGTAAATGAGCTTGAGAGACGTGAAGGGGCAGAGGGACCACACTGCGCAGCTGCTCGTCAGTGGGAAACCAAGGAGAAAGGATTCAACATGAATCCACGGTTCTAGGGTAACGAAACAGATAGTGGCGAAGCCATTTAGTGGATTGGGTTCAAGGGGGGAGTGAATAGGTAGCAAGTCAAGAGGACAAGTTCAGTTCTGCCCAGGACTTCTTAGTCCATTCTGGAGAGATGATCAGGAAAAACAAGAGGTGAAGGGCTAACACTGACCATCAATGATTTAAGTGTTTTTCCCACATTAATTGTCTGAACATTGGCACTGAAAAGTTGATATCCTTATTATGGTTATATAGTTAAAGACTGTTATATAGTTATACACTTAGACTCCAACCCAAGATTGTTATATAGTTAAACAATGAAGGTTGAATTTGTCTTAGAATATACAGTTTATAAGTGGTGAGCCTGTAAAAATGGCTACCTCTTTGCCAGTACCTAAGTTTTTACTATTACAGCTTTATGCTCAATAACTGAATGGAACTTACGATTCAGGTGGCTCATTAGGAGCGTTGGTGGCACAGTGGTTAAGCGCTCAGTTGTGAAACAAAAAGCCAGTAATTCAAACCTTCCAGCTCCTCTTCAAGAGAGAGCCGTGGCAGGCTGCTTTTGTAAGGACGTATCACCTTACAAACACCATGAGGCAGTTCCACTCGGTTCACTAGCTGCACTATGAGGCCGAATCAACTCAGAGGCAGTAGGTTTGGTTTTAATTTTCATTATGCCTATAAAATTTGCAGCCAGAATTTAAAATCATGAGTGATAAGTCAAGAACAGAATAGATCTCAGAACACAACGGAGAAGGACGACTAAATTCAAATCAAGCTACCTGACCCAGATATTCTGTTCTCTGCAGTGAGTCCTTAAATAGCACAGTGAGTTCACAGCTTGACTGCAAACCCAAAGTTGTATATTCCAGTCTCCCCCTAACTATTTCAGAAGAAAGGCTTGGTCTCCGAATTCTAAACAATCAGCCGTGAAAACTCGATGGGGCGCAGTTCCACTCTGACACATGTGGGGTCACCAGGGGTTGGAGTTGACTAGGCAGCCACTGGAACTGGCACCTCTTGAGGGAGAAAGGCCCTTCCTGAAGGACTACCTCTTACTGAGTGCCTTCCTTTTAACTAACCACCTCCATCATATTTCCTCCCTAAATTGAAGGAGGAGAGGTGAGTTAGTGGTTTAAAGACTTGCTTTGGAAGCATTCTGAAAACTCTAACTCCCTGCCTTCACGTTGGCTCTGACTCCTAGCAACCCTATAGGACAGAGCAGAACTGCCTCTATTGGTTTCCGAGACTGTAATTCTTTGTAGGAATATAAAGTCTAATCATTCTCCCACTGACTGGCTGGTGGTTTTGAATTGCTAACCTTGTCCTTTGCAACCTCTACACCACCAGGGCTCCTTCTTCCAAGCATAGAAACAAATACTGTACTACTTCCTTATCCCACAGCACTCAACAATACAGTCTTTCTTAACATCTCTTAAGGGAGAAGCACTGTTTTAGCCAATGGGATTCATTATCTTATCAGACAGGAGTTTAAGGGATAGTATGTTTAAAGTATTACTTAACTCTTTCCAAAAGAGTTGCAAAACAGCCTACACAGCTAACTGACTCTCAGAGAAGGAAGCATCCGTTGCATTCTAGTGCTTGTTTTCCTGATGAGAAACAGATCCCTGTGGCTGGAATTTATTTTCCAACCACACACACACAAAGAAAAAACATTCTGACATTCTATAGTATGCCTAACATTTCTCAAATCTGAATTCCTAATTGGGTTAAAGGAAAAAGAGCAACCTGGAATTTTCATGCTGGTTTGTATTCAGAATTTAAAACAGAACCCAAGACATACATTTTTATATTGTTCTAAAACATGCATAAGCTGGTTCAAAATTCCTACAACCCCTTCTGAAACTGAAAACAGGAAAAACAGGGAGACACTTGAATTACAAAAGTACTGTGCAAAGAAAGTCTTCTCTTCCGTGGAGGACCTTACACTACTTACTTTTTACAAAGAGGAGCCAAGGGCTGTATGATAGCTGCTCCTTCCCTCGCAGAATTCAAGGGTGTCTGTGTGTGTGTGTGTGTGTGTGTGTGTGTGTGTGTGTGCGCGCGCACGAGCGCGCGCATGCTTTTCTTTGTTAATTTATTATAGAAATAGGCAACTATTTTCAGTTGTTTTTAGCTTAAAGGTAAAATAATTCTGTAATAGTAATGAATCCAGAGGATCCATGGAGTCTATAATAAACTTATTGTCATCAAATCAATGCCGATTCATAGACATCCTATAGGACAGGGTAGAACTCCCCCTATGGGTTTCCAAGACTAACTCTTAACAGGAACAGAAAGCCCCATCTTTCTCCCAAGGAGCAGCCCTTAGTGTATAACCCACTATGCTACCAGGGTGCCTGGAGTTTACAATAAAGAATTATAATAGTAACCTAAATGGAACCCTGGCGGAGTGATGCGCTAAACATTAGATGGCTAACCACAGAGTTGGTGGTTCAAACCCAGAAGTAGCTTGGCTGGAGAAAGATGAAGCTGTTTGCTCCAGTAAAGATGAACAGTCTTGGAAAGGCTCTGAATCACTTCGACTCTGTCCTATAAGGTCACGATGAGTCAGAATTGACTGACTAGCGGTAGATTTTATCCTTACCTGTGCAGTTTATCCTCAAGCATTTCCATGTATTTCATAGTATTTTCCTTCACAGTTGTGCCTGCAAAACAAAAATCCAAAAGTGATCGAATTGCAGTCAAAGAAAGAATACAATGCAGAACAGTAGTCCTAAAAAGCTAAAAGCCAAAGGACAGTAGTCAAGTTGCTAATGATAAAAATGCCCTATTGAAAAAAGGTACGGATAGCCCGGGATACAGGGAACTAACACACACAGGGAGAGAGTGTTGATTGTATCTCCACAGGGAAAGAGGGACCAGACTTCATCCCGGAGTTCCAAGACAGGAACGCAACACACTGACATGAAGCAGGGAACCAATAGAGAGGCCTGAGGGGCCGGCCCAATTACCAGCTAAGTGGACAGCACCACCCTCCCCCCAAGAAGAATTCACCTCCGAGGACAGCACGGAAGCTACAGCTCAAGAAGAGGGACTGGTCTGGTCAGAGCCCACAGGAGCCAACAAAGGAGGATGGGGGGAAAAAAAAAAAAGCCCTGAGGACGATGTTCCTGCTCAGAATAGCAAATGCACAGAGATGACCAGGGCCAGCAATGCACAGGGCCAGCCTCACCACGGGACACAGTGTTCCTCATTGACCCATAGCACCATTGGGGACAACACTAGAGACACACTGCGGTAATTGTGCCTGCCATGAGCTCACCACGCCGAAGCCAGCCTCTGGGGGCATGCAGCAGAGCTGTGGGGGGAGCAAAGCAATGAAGTCCCCAAGGATAGAGGCAGTGCCAGGGCATGGCACCCCATCAGACTCGACTGGAAAGCACCCGTGAAGGAAAACAAACAGACCCTAAACTATTCAAACATTTGTGTGTTGTTGTTGTTGTTGTTGTAGCTATTGTTTTACTTTCTGTTGTTGCTTCATTGCACTCAGTCTTGTGATGGTACATAGCATGTCTACCTGGAAGGGATAGGTGGAATAAACAAGCCAGAAGAGAGAACAACAGGATGACAGTTCTGGGGGATCTTGAGGGGTAGGGGAGTCGGGTGAAAGGAAGAGGGTATTAAC